TAGCTATTGAAAAGTTTTAATTCAAATATGTTGCAATTATTATCGACTAAGGTTAAAAATCTAGTAATAAATATTTAAGTATATGACAAAGAAAATGTTTTAATAAACACATTGTTGTATATAAATAATAAACATGTAGATGTAAATTAATTGAGAATAAGTAGATGCGTTAGCTGAGTATATTATATCCGTCTTACAAATTTAGTAAATTTTCCTGGTAACTATTTAAAAAAGTTACAATTAAAGTTAATAGTTTCATATAAATAAAAAAAAAAAATGAAATAAATTCCAGTGTAAATTATATTATACATTTTTCTTATAATAACTATGTGAAAAATTCACTATTTAAAACAGGTGAAAAATATAAATACTATAACTATTTTAATTTCACCTAATTTATACATTTCAAAATAAATGTTACTTTGAAAATCTACTCCATTTAATTAAATAATTTTATTTATCCACATGTTTATTTTTAAAATCGATAAAAATTTAGTTAAAAAACTATCATTTTAATTACTCGTTATATTTTTTAGATAATAAAAATAATGTAATTAGTAACAACATATAATCAAAGAGTATGACTAGGTATATATTTTTAACAAATCAAAAAGTGACGGATACATCATAGATGATAAGGCGCTTTTAGACGATCACGGATTATTATTAGCAACTAATTAAAATGACTACGACATAGTAATTAGTCGGCCGTAATATCAAAACGCTTCATAATCACCAGACTTCCGGTTTTGTCTCCAGATAATCTCAAACGAGGGTGAGTTGTTTAATTAATTACTTCTCAGGCATGTTTATACAAATTTACGAACACATCGATAAGTGTATATCAATGAAATATAATTGAGTAGACCAGGGTAACTTTATGAGCTGGATAAGATGACTAATTAATAGTAACTGATAATAGTTAAATTAACTTTATAATTGTAAACTAAATCAATATAATGGTGTAAAAAACAACTAAATTACTAGTTCTTATTGTTGCTTTGTATTTTTATTTACGAATTTTAGTTATAGTCAACATTTACTTTAATTTTACGGCATCTTCAAATTATGATTTTTAATAAAAACTATCTAAACAGTAAACTTTATATTAAATTAAAACACTACATCTGGAGCTATATTTACATGTTTTTTTTTACTTTTGATCTATTACGTACAATAAAATAAATTTCAATAAATAACTATGGTAAAATATTAATCATCAAATGAAGCTGACAAAGGTAACATAACTACTTTGACCAATTTCAATTATATTACGGATTTTTAAGCATTTATTATGACTAACATTATAATATTATGTATAGTTACGTGTTTGATAAATATCAAACAGATCAGTTTACCTATTGCTAATATATAATAAATATACAACCACACATATGAAAATAATATTAATTGAATATATGATGAACCAAAAATAATTAAATCAATGTGTTTAAAAAAAAAAATTCACACCACTATAAATAGTAAAAACATATATCTAAGTGACATAATAAATCCGAATGTAAGTTATATGTTGACATATTATCTAGCTTTTATCCGGTTATACGACATAATAAACTACAAATACCATGAAAAAATATATTTGGTATAAGGTAATATAGTAGTAGTTAGTTATTATTATAATTCAATACTTAAATAGTTAATTTTTAACATAATTATTCAAATTGTATTTTTTTTTTTTACGAAGCTGTGTATTCGTTAATCGCAGCTATTAGTAACCAAATAATATTTATTTTTACAATTGATTAAAAGATTATTTTTAATTTGTTCTTCATTTTATTGTCATAAAATTGTGTATGCAAATAAATATCAGTATTTAATAATTTACTATGATTTTATTATCACAGTTTCAAGCATTGTAATCTTTAACATAATATAATATACTAAATAAGTTAAGTATTATGACAATAAATAATAATCAATTTTTTTTTTTTTTTTTAACTAAATTAATGGTGTTTAGAATGTTTTTACTGCATAAAAATACAATAAATTATTTATTTTTTTTTGTGCCAAAAAAATATTGTTTTAAATACCCATTTGAAAATTTGGTTAATCGGTTAGATATATGGATTTTATTGTATGGGAAAATAATAAAACAACACTATAATAGGGTATTGCAGTTATTTAAATGGTATAATTTCTGTTTGTAATGGAGTAGAAACACCTATTTGCCAGGGCCTTTGAATCGTTAAGGGTTCTCAAACAATCAAGTATTTCAAAAGCTAAATCTGGTTCCACAAGCTCTTACATATAGTAATAATATCACACAGTTAAATAATCTTTGTCATAATATCACTATTAGTTGGACATATATTTTACACTATTTAAAGTAAAGAATATTGTTTGGTTAAAATAATACACTCATTTTTTTTTAATAATATAAAAATAAATATCATAGATACTTTTTTAAAGTAACACAAAAATCAATATTTGTAGTTTTTAAATATTATTGAAGCGTTAATTATTATAATAATAAATAAAAACATTTAACGGCAATTGCAATGACTATATATTAAATAATTTAATATTTAGTATTTAAATATTGTTAAAATAAAGTATACAAGTGTATAAGGCTATTTAAAAATAGCGGAGAAACATTTACCTGAGAAAAATATAGCTATAATTTTAAATATGATAATATAGTGATATATATTATATAAACCTATTGCCCTGGGGCTTTAGTTAGACGAATATTTATTTTTTAAACTAATTTTGATTCATTAACAAAGTTTGTTATACATTTTTTACCGAAGAGATTTTTAACTTTCAAAACAAGTTTCTTTATTTCATAACATAGAATAAAAATATAATAAAATACTATATTTTTATGTTTGTTGATATTTCAACTTAAAAAAAAAAGAAATTTATTCCTGACCATTTAAAGTTAGTCAAATTCAAATCCCTTCAACCGATATTATACACTTAAATATTCGTCTTTTGAGTGACTCCGAAATACAGTTAGCAATGATCATGATATACTTGGTCACGTGTTCGCGCATACACTGGTGTGTTGCCACGTGTACAGACCACCGATTAAATTCAACCATTCGCTTGCTAAAATGACCATAACATGTCCAAATTAAACTAACATACAATCGTACTTTACTCTTCACATACTGACATATTTTTAATATACCGTCATATCAATATGTACTATATTTTTCTCCTTAGAACATGCAGACAGCTATAATCATTTACCTAAATGAGCTATAAAGATATATGTCCCTTCTGGTGTTTTTGTAATTAAAATATTGACATTTGCATCACAATTATTTATGTCAATGAAAATGGTTTCAAGAAATAATGTCAAGTATTTCATACGTATATTCCACAATCAACAAAACATATAATGTGCATACACTAAAAAATGTGTATGGTTTATTATAATAAATTGATGATCGAATAAAGAAAACGTGATATGGTGACTGGAATATATCCGAAAATCTTACTATAATTAATGAAGAAAATAATATTCTATAGTGAGTTTTTTCTGTTGATTTAAATGTAACATAGGTATATCTTTTATGACATATTTTACTATAAAAAGATAATTTAATACTGTTAATGGTGTAAAAACTTGGTTAAGGTCTACGATGGCAATAAAATAACTTAGTTGATAATATTATAAATTATTATTTTTTTAATAAACCGAATCTAGAATTATTATAGGTCTTTAAAAAAAAATAAAAAAATACCTATATTATAAAATTACCACGAATATATTAAATAATACAGATATAACTACTACAATAAATGTAACGATATAATAATATTATAAAATACGTAATTTTGTGTATGACAGTTTAATCAGATAAAATAAATATTGTTGTAAAATACAATGTATCCCTAGATTTTCAAAGGTAGGAGACCATCTGTTTTGTTCCATTGTAAATATTTTGATAATATTGAAATAATATATTATTATTAAATAGGTACAAGTTCAAAACCACATAAATATTGCCTTATCAAGAAAACCGCCTGTCATACTGCTGCACCAGCTGACTGGACTATAATGTTGATAAGTACCTACTATAATTTTGCTCTGCCAAAGTGAAAAGCAGTAACCGATAAATTTTCAAAAATAATTTTACTGTAGAATATTGTTTATTGAAACATTTTACATCGATTTTGTCAAGATAAAATGCAGTAATACATCATTTACACCATCAAAACAAGTTTTTTGAACGTGTATTATCTAAAAAAAAATTTAACTCGCATAACATTACGTACTGTAAATTTATAATTATTTTTTTCTATATACTCATTTTAATAAATTGGACTCGTCGATATAAATCATAAAAAATAAATTAAATATCATTGAATACTAGACGAATGAGCAGTAAATTATATATCCTAGAAGAAAGCGCAGCATGTTTTATTATTACTGCTTAAATATCATAATATTACCTATATGTTAAATGCATTAAATTTATTTGGGAAAGCTGCACATTTATCTAATAATTCTTGATTAAACAACCAGCAGTAAAGAATATCTAAATGTTAATAATTAAAACATGTCAATTTTCTATTTTTTTTTTTTTTTTAATCTAAATTTAAAATTGTATAGTTCAATAAAATGCAAAGATTAAAACGAGTTTACTCTTAACTTTGAAACTATATCTTTCTAACGTACCTTCGACTGGTCAGAATTTACATGAAAATATGTGTACCTAATTGTAATTATTTTTGATCTTTAAAAATGCAATAAATATCTACCTTATTTATCAAAAAAAAAAAAAAAAAAGTATAAATAATTGATTTAATAATGCTAAAATTATCCAGACTGATTCCTGAGGTAAATTTTATTACTTACAATTTTATTATAAAAAAAATTATTTCATGATTTCGTTAACAATCAACAACTGTTTGAAAAGATAACAAAAAACCCATTTTCCAGACATTTGAAATTTTATGGACACCACCTTTCACTGCGGCGGCGGGGAACAGTATATTATAATATTGTCGTTTACGACGGGGCCCACCTGAAAGTCAGCGTAGTCAGCGGCCGGTACGATTTGTGGCTGTTGGGGTCCGACAGCGGGGTACCCCAGAAGTCGTTGGTGGCCACGAGGGCCAGCGGGCCGGTGCCCAGCACGTCGGCGTTCATGGCCACGGCCGGTATGTCATCGTGCACGAAATCGCCACGCAGGCCGTTCCAATAGCACACGGTCACGGCCGCAGCGACGGCCACGTAAACGGCGACGGCGACTTCGGGCCACCCGTGTTTGGGTCGTGCGCGCCTGCCGACGCCACTGCCATTGCCGCCGCAACCGTGATGGTATTGGTGGTACTGCTGATAATGTTGCGAGTTGTTGTTGTAGTTGTTGTTGTTGTTGTTGTTGTTGTGATTATGATAATGCGGTGACCCCCTCATCGTACGACGACTACCACCTGTACCACCATCACAACAACCATGCGGCCGCGCGAGCGGTGAACAACGAATCAACGATAAAAGTAATATATTGTTCTAAAAATATTTCAATCGACAGAACTCGACGTAGGTAATGTTATCGCTTAACGACGAATAATAAAAACCCCGTTCGAATAACAAAATCGACCTTTCGCGAGATTCCTTTAGTTAATTATTTGTTTTTTTTTTTTTTTGTTTAATTTTATTTCAACGTGACCATAATACTGTTGTCATTATTGCCATAGAATCGCGTTACCGGGCCGCCCGACGTTGGACGACGCACCACGCGCGGACGACGACGATCGTACCGATGCGCACCGCATTGCGACACCGACTACCGAGTAACAGCGAGTACGGTTTACCAACGAGTACTGACGCGTCGGCACGCCAAACTGCCAGAGTTCCGACGATGCCTTCGGTGGCCGCGTGCGCGATTACGGTTGAACGGAAAAAATAACCGACAATGTCGCTAGCCACCCCCGCCAGAGGGCGAATTGCCGCTACCACAACACATGTCCGCGGACGACTCTATTCCCACCGCACTAGCGTCGGCGACGTCCGAGAAATATTGTTATTAATAATACGGACTGGGGGAATTATTTTTTTTACATATTAATTCTAATTTATTTTGTCTACGTACACCACCACACTCTTTTCGATCATTGTGTGTTTGTGCGTTGTTGTGCGCGAAATCGTGAATAATTGTAATGCGTCTATACCACACGTAGAGTTTTTTAATAATAAATATCATTTATATAATATTGAATTCCTTTAATACAGGATAAATATTTTAGAGGATATCAGATATCAAAGGATTTTAAAAATTGATTTCATTTTTTTTTTTTTTTAATGGTTAAGATTTTATTGCTATTTTAAGCTTCCTATCACAATATGAAATTATCAGTTTGGAACAAATATTTTAAAACAAATGTTTCTTTTTTTAAATTTCAGAAGACACATTAATATTCTAAATCTATCGCATGTACTTATTATCTAACCTATCCAATTTTTAATAACTGTTTATGAAAAAATAATAGATTATCATGTATTCACAATGATAATTTAGTATACCCACACGACAATTGCTTTGGAAATTCTGACATGTTTTTCATCAAATTAAATAATTATTGTAATTATTTTCAAATAGAAATACACAGCCGTCAACCACATAATAAGGTGATACGTATGATGTTCATGATTTTGTACAATATATTCGTATATCTAGCTTATAATATTATTTAAAATCCTAGTGATTCAGGGTAAATACTATTTTAATATAAAATAACTCATTACTCAAAAATAGAGTACCATTGAAAAATTAGTATAAAAGTAAAGTGAATAGTATTGTTCAACTAACTTTATTGTATAAACTACTCGTATATGGCATCAAAATGTATTATATGAAAAAATAGAACGCGTTCCAATAAGTACAGAAACAAAAATGCATACATGTGTAAAAAATGTTTTAGCATTAGATAATTACAACTCTAATTATAATGATGTTACCTTCCTATTGCTGTTTTTGTGTATTTTTTATTTTTTAACCCGATTTAATATGCTAGTTTTTGTTCTTTAATTTTAAGCTATTACTTATTTTATTTTTATTTTTTTTTTCATTTTAATATTTTGTGTTACTTTTTAGATATTTTATGGTTTACGATAAAAATCATAGAAATCACTCTGTACAATATTTTAAACATTTAATGAAATATCTGCATTTTTTTAAATCACTCATAAAGACTGATAGTTTTTGTTTTCATATCACAGAAACTATACAAAAATATATGGAAAAATAATTAAATGGCTGACATTTTTTTCGAATTCTTTCTTACTACTTTGCTATTGTTATTTGTCATTTAGCTTAGACCTATACTAGATACCTATTAAAATATCAAATCGATTTGAAAAGAGGTTTTTTTGAATATATATAAACCTAAATTTTGCTATTTAATATATACGTGTTATATCTTTACTAAGATGTTTTGAAAAACTAAAAATAAAATAAAATAAATCATGATTTTATTTTTAAGTGGTTTAACGATTTTTTAGTTTTAAATAATACTGTAATTATTATTTGTTTTTTTATAATTCAATTATTATCTGTTTAATAACTATATAAAATTATATAATACTATACAGTCTATACACCTACGTATAACATATTATATACTTAACAATAAAATCTATATCAATCCAATAAACACTACACACTACTATACTTAACATTTTAATTAAATTTCTTATTGTATAGACTAAAGTAATGTGTTTTAAATTTTATTTAAGATTAGAAATTATTAATTAAACATTTATAATTTAATCTCAATTAGGTACCTACTTATTATTATGCTTAGCTATTTTTAATTTAGTTTTTAAACGTATATCTATATATGTATAGTTATATGTTTTAAATTTAATATAAATATATATATATATATATTTTTAGTGTTGTAATTTTATTGTTATAACTATAATATTCTTCTATAATAAGTACTTACATGAGTCGTTTTTAAATTTAAAATAATCAGCCCATTTTGACTTCATTAAATGGCTCATCCAACATGGAAAAAGTAATCCTTATGATCAAACAAACATAAATTCTTGAAATTCTTCAATCTTAGAAAATGCATGCCTTATTCTACCTACTAATAAAATTTTAATACAATTTAAAAAAAATGTTTACTTGGTATTTAAATAAACGATAGGTATCAGACAAGGTTTTCAATCTCTATGTTATATAATTTGTTATTTCATTATTTTATACATTAATTGAGAAATTTTATAAATTAATAACTAATGAGTTATAATAATTATGGTAATACATGCAATAATATTTACTTTTAAATTACAACGAATCTTTCTTATAGAATTATTTTTAATTTTCGGAAACTGCAATATTTCTTTATGTAAAATCAATTTTTTTTTCAAAGTATAAAAAATTTTCTGGTCGCATTCTCTATTTAATTAAAAAAAAAGTATAGCTGTTTTAAAAAATGTTGACAAAATTTGCCAAACTCGGAATATTTTTGCTTTTCTTCAAATATTTTGCTCACTCACTATTGTTTTTACATTTTCATAAAACATAAATATTTTAGAATAGGATTGGTTTAAGTCAATATAATATAAAAGTATTATAGCCTTTAGGCGAGACCGAAAATTCAAAAGAATTTAACAAATTCAAATCAGCTGATGTCGAATGCAGTGTGACCAACACCTAATTTTAAGCAAATGAAAAATGCATAGGATTTTTTTTTTTATTGAAAAAATCAAACTTTTCATGCAGATAAGATATAAATAATTACATATTTCATTAATCTACTTCCAGTAAGCTTATTCAACTCGTGATAGATGTAGAGAATTATGATTTCTATTAAATAACATTAAAAATATAAATATAATTTGGAGTAATAATACGAATAAAATTCATAGGAATTATAATCAATTAAAAATAGATCGTAAATTAAAAGATGACAATAAATATTCTTAAAATAAACTTATAAAGAACAATATTAAATATTGTAGGATTAGATTTTTTTTTGTTTGATAATATTTCAAGTTATTTATAGCAGAATAATATACTGAACAAACTCGTTTTAATCGAAGCTATAGATAAAATGTTTGCTCTAGGAATTTATATATAATATTTAATAATTTAATAATGGAAAATAAAAATTGTCTTTTATTTTATTATAATTTATTCTTAAATACTTTGCCTATAATATCATCCATTAAAATTACGTAATTAATTATAAATTTTTCCGATTTCATGACTAGTTTTATTTCACAGGCTAATGAGTATTAATTTATAGACTCATAAGTCATAATATAGAACACTTGTAGTTACTAGTTAGTAGCATGTTTAGGTTTAAACGTGTAGGTACCTACTGCATATTATGTTTTGTGTAGTACCCACACGCTATAGATGCAACGCATTATTAATTGTCAATCAAATTTTTCCGTGTTTAAACATTTGATGAAACTATGATAATTTATAATATTATTACAATAATTATTCTATGTAAATGATATTTATTTAATTTAACAGTAAATTAAAACTTGGCACGTTGATTGACAAATAATAAATATATTGTACAGTTACATCGCTTAATTCTTTGAATTCCATCGATTCTTATAAAATCACATTAAATTTAAAATATATTATAGGTAACACATAACAACCATTTATTTATAAATTAAATATTATATTAAATATTAATATAAAGGTATTATTATTTTATAATAGATATTGAAACAAATTATGATATTATAAAATTCATTTTAAACTTATTAATACATTTTAAATCGGTTTTTTATTTGTTTTATAAATCTATTCTTATTGAGCAACACTAAGTAAAATGGTCAAGCCCCCTTCCCCTTAACAATGTATTTCTCCAATAAACATACATATTTATTTATTAAACACTTATGAACTAATAATAAATGCATAATATTTTCGGGGTAAGAAGTCATCTATTAATAAAATTTACGGTTGAAATTTAAAAGCCTTATTAATGTATTAATTTTATTGATATTAAAGCTATTTATTATTGATATTAAATTATTAAAATGTATTTATTTTCAAGCAATTTAAAACTTATAATTTAAAAATTATTTCAACGTAATGTAACAACAAACAACTAATATCTTTTAATATTAATTAGAAAAAATAAAAATAAAAGTTTTATTGATAATATATTTGTGTTTATAAATGTATTTAATTAATTTTTAAATAATAAGTTTAATAATAAAACAAAAAAATAAAATAATTAAAATAGTAAATACCATACTTAATATACTTGTATTATAAAATTTAGACCACAAATTTTTATATCTATATTATGTTTGAAAAACCACGGAAGAAGCGTAGAAACCTGGTTGGAAACTTTATTATTTATTAAATGTATTCAGTGAGACAGCTAACGAAATTGAGACAAGAAAAATAATCGAACCGTAAACCAATTTAAACAACAATTTCTCAAAAAAATCATAAATATTGTAAATATTTATGTACATTATACATCACTAAGTTCTAAATATAATTTGAAAGTTTATATTTTATTATCTTCCCAAAATATATAATGTAGTAGATATAAGTATAGGTTGTTAGTTTTATAATTTGTTGTATAACTATATTATACACTAAGATGTTTACTTGGTGCGTTTATTTTAAAGTAATAAGTTGTTAGTGAGTCATTAGAAAATATATTTCTAATTATTTTACGGTTCTTTTTGATTTGATTTACAGATATACATTTTATCAATTTATTGTTTAAATATTAAGTTAATCTTAACACAAATACATATATTCATTCAAAAGTTACAATCGAAAAATTATCAAAATCGTTTTACATTTTAAAATAAAATATCGTTAAATTATTTGAAATAAAAAGTACTAAGCCGATA